AGTTGATTCTGGGAAGAGGTGGTTTTCCTCTCAGAGAGCAGAGGCCATTGGCTAGGAGCACCTGTGGTTTTGGAAAATAAACAAGTGTTCCACTCTCATCTCCTGGGGGCCTGGCCTCTGGGGGCCTACCAGTCCCTGGCTGCAGGGTGAGGCAAGGGGGCCAACTCATTCACAGGAGTAAGGACTGTCATGGATCAGCCTGTCCCCCCAACCCACATACACAGTAGATACTGCTGGGAGTGAGGTACACACCCCCCAAAGCAGTGCCCTGTCTGTGGCCCTCCAGCCAGGCACTCACCTTCCCCACCTGAGTGGAACTCTGTAGAGATGGGGATCCAGCCTAGAGGTTCTCAGTGACCCAGGCAGGTAGGCATAAGCCAGAGTCAAATGGAGCCCATGGGGCAGCCCACCAGCTTTTGCTGGTATCTGCTCAGGGGAAGAAGAATCTGCCTTCCTCTCATCTCTCAGCCAGGCTGGGGCAGAGGCTCTGTGTATCTGGTCTGGAGCTGGGCAGCCTGGGAAGGGAGAAGGGCATGCAACCTTGCTTTCAGGTGAGAGTTCTGCACATCCTGCTGAGGCTTCCTGTGAGGCCAGGCCCCTCTCCACTACCTGCTTTCTGGCCTCTGAAAAAGGGCAAGCTGCCCCCTGGGCCAGTGCCATGGGATCACCCTGGGCCCAGGAGATGCATTCATCTCTGGCTGCAGGGGATGTGAGGAGGAGCTGATGCCCTCCCTTGAGGCACTGGGGCAGGTGAAGGGCACCTGGGTTCCATTCTTGCTGCACATCTACCGGGCTGGAAGCAAGGTTTCCTTTCCACTTGTCATGTCTCAGTTTCACATTCTGCACAAAGACAAGGGTCCCTACCCCTTTCCCAATCCCATTGCTGACTCATGCCAGAGTCCCCTACTGACTCACTCACCACCCCCTGGCCCCCTCCCTCCCAGTCGCTCTGGATCTCCCAGCCACGTGCCGCCATGCCCAACCCTGCTGAGCTGGTGCAACGTGACAGGGTGAGGGGGCTGGTGACACTGGAGGAGGAAAGAAGGGGGTGGGGGTGGGGGACAGCTGCAGACAGGAGAGTGACAGACTGCAGACCAGAGAAAGCTCTGGGAGGAAGCCCTTTTGCCAGCCTGGGCCCGGCAGTGGGAAGAGGCTCAGCAGGTGGGAGGGGAGGAGGAGTGTGGAGTGCCTGCCTGCCCCCTGACTGCCTGGGCTCCATCTCCTGTCAGCCTTCAAGCTCCCTAAGCGACAGCTTCTAATTCAGGCTGTTGGTGCCTATGTTCTCTGAAGCAAAGTCTCAGTTTTTTTTCAGCTTTGCTATTTCTTTTCTGTTCAGAACATACTGAGCCCACAGGAAAGTCAGAGCAAAGGCTCCAGGGGCTGAGACTTGGTACCAGCACCGCCACGGGCCTGGCCAGGGTGAGGATGCCAGCCTGGGTGAATGCCCTCCAAAGGGCACCCAGCCCCACGGTCCCTGCCAGGCCAAGGTGAGGCCCTGAAAGGGCTGTTGCTTCTCCACCTCTTCCCTGGGACTGTCTCTGTCCACCACAGGGAACAGTGACAGAATAAACCTTTGCCTCTTGGAAGGGGGCAAGGAGGGGGGGACCTGGCTTTTCAGACTAAGGAGGTGCCCATTTCATGTTTGTGCTGCATCTCTTCTCCATGGGGGGGAGGGGAGCACAGCCTGCCTTGTCAGATTAACCTGTCACACAGAGGTTCCAGGGGTACCCCCTCCCCTGGCCCTGGATATAGAAGGGAAAAAAGCAATTTCCCTCACGCTTCAGAAAAGGAAACTTGAATCATAAACTAAACCAAACCTCACTGCCATCTACTTGCTTGTTAAATCATACAGCTCTGAGGAAAAGCCTTTCTTCTGCTACCTGAGTAGAGAGAGAGCTTTCGTGCCTTCATTGGGCCCAGAGGGTCACTGGAGTGTCTATCTACCCTTGGGCTGAGCCCCAAGAGGGTCCCCATGGGGGGCAGGGAGGAGGGAAGCAGTGGGCCCTGCCACCCCTGCAGGCTTAGCTATCGCACCAGGCCCTGAAAGAGTCTCCAGGTCTGGGAGCAGGACCAGGCTTTGAGGGCTGCACTCAGAATTACTGTGCAGCTCTTTTCCAGACACAGGCTCACTGGATCCTGTGGAAGCAGGCAGGGCTGGTATTATCAGCTTCATTTTGCAGATGAAAATATGCAGGCCTGGAGTCACACTGCTAGCAAATGCCTTGACTTAACTCTGATGTCAAATACTGTACCCTTTCCATGATACTATGAGAGGGAACTGGCAAAGTCCTCTTCAAGGGCTTAAAAACACAAAAACTAAACAAGTATGTGCAGGTATGCATCATATGTTCCCTGTGTGACAGAAGGGGAGAGAGAGAATTTGTTTCTGGGGCCCAGGTCCCAAGTGGGCAAGACTCTCAGGGCGCAGGGCCTTGTACCCACTTTGGCCCTCATCCACCACGTTCTTCCCAGAGGCAAATTTTCTCCTCTCCCTCATACCCTTCCCCAAGGGCATCCTGCTGCAAAGCGTCTTATCACTGCTCTGCCTAGGCTGAGGGCACCTTCATTCCACTTTAATTCCCTTTCTCTCATAGGTACCAGAGCCAGTGTCAGAAGTCCATTCCAACTCACGGAGACCCCATATCTGTCAGAGCAGATTTGTGCTCCATAGGGTTTTCAGTGGCTGGTATTTTGGAAATAGCTAGCCAGGCCTTTCTTCTGGGTGGACTTGCACCTCTAATCTTTTGCTTAGCACTGTAAGAGGGCAAGCCTCTTACAAGAAGGGACTCCTTAAGGCAGTCCATCAACATTGTCTCCTAAAGGTGCACCATTTTTCCTGATTTTGCCTCCATAATACTTCTGTCTGGACCATTTTCCCTCTTTTTTAGCAGCCAGAGTGCACATCCTGGAAGGACCAACTCAGAAGTCCTATCCTCAGAAGACTCCGGAGCCTTCCCCCCTCCCCACAACTCCATCTTTTCCTCCAGAAACTTGGTTTTCTATTTAGCAGAGATGTTCAACCCTCAGGTGATAACCTCCACTTTGTGCGTCTTGGTCTTCCTGCTTGAAAAGGGAGGTTTCTTCCAGTCCAGGATCTAGCTTCAATTTCTCTATTTTCCAGTGATGAACACAATATCCCAGTCATGAAAAGTCTCTGTAAATTCTGTAATTGATACATGGTGAACTTCCTACTTTATAAATACCCACGCCCACCCTACCCTACTCACCCCCCACCCCAAGCATAGAGGCGCCCTGAATCTCCTCAAAGAGGTGTTTGGACCTCCCTCCCACGTTCCACCTCCTTTCCCACCTACACGCAGCTGGGCGGCTGATGGGAGGGAGAAGGCAAGCAGCGGTATATCCATGTCCTGGTGGCGTAGTGCCTAAGGCATTTGACTGCTAACCAGAAGCCTGGCGGTTCAAATCCACCAGCCACTCCTCGGAAGGAAGGTTGGGCCAAGTACTTCCTTAGTAATACCGCCTCGGAAACCCAAGGAGGGGTCACTTTGAGTAGGATCCGACTCGAGGGCATGAGTATTGACTCTTCCCCCCCTTCCTCTCGGAAGGGGTCAACTAGTGGCCTGGGCGAGAGCCCCGTGGCAGGCGTGGTTTTGTGTTCAAAAGACAGACGAAGACACTGTAGGAACCTCGAGTACGTTCCTCTCTCTTTCCGGGTGGCAGCCCTCTCAGAGCAGCGGAGAGGTGGGGCCCGGAAGTTGCTAACTCGCCGCCGCACTCCCAGGTCCTAAGGCGCCCGCTGCGTCTGCGTTCCTCCTGGAGCTAGCACGGGCGGGGCGCGTTGTCGGGGTTGGAGACGTTTCAGGTTGGAGAGCGCACTCTCCCCCACCCACCCACCCCGTTCCGAGTGAACGTGTTCAGGAGGAACAATTGTGTGTCAGTGCCTGATTCGCTGCACTTCGAGTGGCAGTTCCGAGCCAGACTGAGCGCCCCCGGCCCCTGCGCAGCGCTTGTGCCCCCTCCCCCAGATTATCCCTCTCCCGCCTTTGCTCGCCACTCCCAGCTCTCGCCGGGTCCAGTTTTGCCCTCCTGGGACCCATTTCTCTCAACTCTGGACTTCTGGGGGCTGCTCTCAGTCTTCCCCGACGGTCCCTCCAGTTTCTAAGCAGCGGAGGATACCGATTCGGATGGGGGCGGGGGGTGGGGAGAGAAGACTGTCACTTTGGGATTGGCCGGGTCGGATGCATGTGGCCCCCGGCGAGCAACCCCCGCCCCGCAACAGTCGCCGCAGCCCCAGGGGAGCGCGGAGGAGGAGCAGCTCCCCGACTCCTTGGCCCACGGATGGGTGTGGGTCTGGGGCGGTCTCCCCCACGCCATCGACTTTGCCCTGACGGCTCAACCCGCTTCCAGGGCAGCCATTGCCATGGAGACCCCCGAGGCTATAAAGCCAGGTATCCAGGCAGGCGGCGGCTCCCGCTGCGCTGAGCCCCACAAGTAAGGAGCAAGCGCCCCGGCGTGGCTCGGCCCCCGCAAGAGGGGAGGAGGCGGAGGAGCGGCGCCAGCTGCTGGAGCGGCGCGCCCCACCAGGGCTGGAGGCAGGCGCGCACGGCGGGCGCCACCGTCTCAGCAGGGAGCGGGGGCTGCCCCGCGTGCGGGTGAGTGGCGCGGCTGCAAGCCACGAGGGACTTAGGGGCACCGGACACTGGGAAAGCAGCGGGAGACTCAGGACGGGGCTGAGCTTCAGCTCTCCTAGTCTTGTCGCGGGCTAGACGCTGAGCCCGGAATTTCAAGCCACCGACACCTGCAGGCGGGAAGCTCGGGAAAGAAGCAGCGAGACGCCAGGCGTTGCGGCCCAGGAGCGACTGGGCCGCCAGAGCCACCGGGGCGAACGGAGTGGCAACCGAAGGACTTTCGACCGCGGCCGCCCACGCGTGAAGGGATCTGTACCAGGACACAGGTGGGGGCCGGAGCCCAGCTGGGCACAGGGACAGGGGCGCCCCCGTGCGGAGCTGCCAGGCCGCCTGGGCGCGGCGGCCGGGGCCATGCTCAAGCCCAAAGACCTGTGTCCCCGAGCGGGCACGCGCACCTTCTTGGAGGCCATGGAGGCGGGCAAAGTGCACCTGGCCCGGTTTGTGCTGGACGCGCTGGACCGTAGCATCATCGACTGCAGGGCGGAGCAAGGCCGCACGCCGCTCATGGTGGCAGTGGGTTTACCCGACCCCGCGCTGCGCTCGCGCTTCGTGCGGCTGCTGCTAGAGCAAGGTGCGGCGGTGAACCTGCGGGACGAGCGCGGTCGTACGGCGCTCAGCTTGGCTTGCGAGCGCGGCCACCTGGACGCCGTGCAGCTGCTGGTGCAGTTCAGCGGTGATCCCGAGGCGGCCGACTCTGCGGGGAACAGCCCGGTGATGTGGGCGGCGGCGTGCGGCCACGGGGCGGTGCTGGAGTTTCTGGTGCGTTCCTTCCGCCGTCTCGGCCTGCGCCTCGACCGCACCAACCGTGCGGGCCTCACGGCGCTGCAGCTTGCCGCCGCTCGCGGCCACGGGACTTGCGTGCAGGCCCTTACCGGGCCCTGGGGCCGCGCCGCTGCCGCCGCAGCTGCCCGGGGCTCCAGCTCCGACAGTCCCCCTGGCCGCCCGGCCCCAGCGCCCAGCCCTGAGCGCCGGAGACCCAGTCCCCGCCGCCTCCCGCGTCCTCTCCTGGCGCGCTTTGCTCGAGCAGCTGGCGGCCATAGCGGCGAGGCAGGTTCTGGGGTTAAGGGCTCCGGGCGGCATCGGGCGCAGGGCAGCGAGCGGCCGGAGCTGGGCCGGAGCATGAGCCTGGCGCTGGGTGCTGTGACCGAGGAGGAGGCGGCCCGTCTGCGGGCGGGGGCTCTGATGGTTCGACCACATTCGCCCCAGTCTTCAGGGACCGGGCGGTGGCGCTCGCAGGAGGTGTTAGAGGGAGCGCCTCCGACCTTAGTGCAAGCCCCCATTGGCCTTAGCCCCCACCCGGAAGGCGATCCCGGCTCGGGCCGCCTTGGTTTACGCCGACGCTCCACAGCCCCAGACATCCCCAGCCTGGTGGGAGAGGCTTCAGGACCCGAGAGTGGCCCGGAGTTAGAAGCCAATGCTGTGCCTCTCTCGGTGCCTGGGCCACAGCCTTGGCAGGCCGGCACAGAGGCCATGGTGCTGCAAGCCCAGCGGTAAACGGCCCCAGCACCCAGCTTTGCCCTTCTTGCCTCTGCTCCACTGGGATTTCACCCCTGCCTCCAGGTCCTTCACTTCCCAGCAACTCCTCTGCCCCTATTCCCAGAACCTGTCCTGCCAAAAACAGGCCTCCACCAGTCCTCTCTCTCAGAGGGACCCCCATCTTATTTCTTACTTGTGCTCGTTGCCTCTCCCATTCCCTACTAACTGCCTGCCTTTCCTGTCCCTGGAAGGTGAGGGCTAAAAGGCTAGTTCTATAGGCTAGAGTCTTCTAGCCAGGAAGGTGGACTGCCCCTGCCCTAGCCCTAATGCTCAGTCCTGGCCTACCTCCTAGGTGGGACCTGCCTAGGTACTCGCTGGCTCCTGTCTAGTCCCCTTCCCCAAGCTGGGCTCCCCAACATCCTGGCAGTCAGGCCAGGTGAGAAGTCAGCCTTAGGGAACTAACGTGGGCCTCCCATGGGGCCCTGAGTTCTGCCTAGAGATGCTGACAATAATGCTACAAACTACCCAAGTCTCCCTCTCAAGAGTTGGACCCCGCTCCCCCTCCCCCAGCCTTTCTAGACTGTCAGACTGATGAGGAAGGAATCTGGCACTTAAGTTTTTTCTACGGGAGAAACTCTCCTGCCACAAGCCAATGAAAGCAGATTTAGGGGGTAGGCAAATGGTTGAACACAATTTGTCCCTTGAACCAGCTTCTGGGTAATTCTAGCTCCCTCTGCCCCAAGCAGACCCAGGATTCAACTGGTTTTTGGTATATGGGGCCGGTTGCTCCAGATCATGGCTCCACACCAACGCCACCCAGCCGAAGTCTAAGCTGCTGAGTCTCAGCTGGGCTGGTTTTGAGTTCCATCTTTGAGGTTCAGTCCTTCGAGGCCTCACCAGCCACTGGCCCCTTACCCTCGAGGCGGCACCTTATTTCCGCTCACCTTCTGAGGCCAGGAATATAAAAGAGTTAGCACGTCCCCCGCCCTCGCCGCCTCCCAGCTCCCCTGTCCTGCACGTGGGTGCTCCCGCAGGCGTAGACCGGTTGCGAAGGCTTTGCTTAATTGTATTTCTTCCAATCCTCAAAGAACTCGTGTATATAAAGCAGAAAGCAGCAGGTCTGATCCGAGGCTTAAGAACCTAACAATGTCTCTTTAAATAGAAGCTCTGCGAGGGGGATAATTGACTGAAGTGTTTGCCACGTTAAACGGCGGCGCGCGGGAGTCGGGAGCCCACACGAGCCGCAGGTCCGGGTTTAAATTACATCAAACTCCCGGCGAGAGCAGGAAGCGGCCTGTTAAACGGCTTCTGCTTCTCGCTGGGCCGTTAATGGTGGGCAGGGCGGAAGATGGATTCTAGAGGTCGAGACCAGGGACCCCTGCCTCTGCCCCACCGCGTGGGACGCAGTCACAGCCCAGCTTTCATTCCTGGGCAGATTAGTGAGTCAGAGGCAGCCGTGGAGAGGTGGTGAAAGGCCCTTTCCCGGCCTCGTCCTTCGTTCCCTCCCTCCCCTCCTCCGCCCGCCTTCTCTTTGTGTCTTTTTAGCTAGGGGGTTGGAGGAGCTAGAGAACCCCGGGCGCTAGGACCCTGCGGAAGCGCTAGCGCATTTGTCTGTGCGTCCAGCCTCCTAGGTGTCGGACTGTGGTAGCTCTTTTTGTGAACCTCAAAGCTTGAGCATGCAGCCCTCAACTGCCTGCGGTGGAGTCTTTATTCTAGACGTCGTTATGCAGAACCGAGGGTTTTACTGTCACACTGTGCACTGTTTTCATCTGATAACTCCGAAGGATCTGCCCGGAGCGAGAATGACCCGTGCTGAGAAATTGGGCCTGGGGAATGGGGCGGGAGCTGGGCCAGGAACCGGCCCGGTGCAGGTGCCTGATACCTACCTCCCCAATCCCTCCACTCCACCAGAGTCGGCGAAGTCGCGCGGGCCTGCACCCTGGACGTGTTCTCTGGTGCCCCCTGGTGGCAACGCTGCCCTTTCCCTGCTGCGCCCTGGCTCGGAATTTAGACTTCTCGTTTTATTGGGATCACCGCAGTGTACTTCTCCCTCCGTGTGTGTTTATCCATGGAATCTTCTTCCTCTTGTAGAACATTACATCCGGATACTTGAAATCATTCCACATCAGTGAAGTAAGGGACAATGAACAAAACTCGCATTTGGAGTAGCAGAAGCCAGACGGATCACTCAGAACCCCAAGATCTTCAAAGTTAAAACTCCACGCCCAGAGGGTTCCTGTCCTCCGACAAAATGGAGCTGCCAACCTCTCCCTTACGTTTTTTGAACCTTGGGGCTTGCTGATCGTGCACTGTTCTCATCAGATGGTATTTGTGTCAGTTTCTGAAGTGTTGCAGCCTTCCACCCTTCTCCCAAACACCTGCCTCTCCTTAGTCCTACTGCCATTAGCTGAGTGGGTGGGTGAAAAACACAGAAAACCAGAGGGACAGGGCTGAGATGGGCTGGGGGATGATTGGATTCCCCAAGTGCAAACTGCTTCTTTAAGATCCTTGCTTGCTCACTCACTCCCTTTTCAATTGTGTTTAATTTTCATGAAGTTCTATATGGTGTAAGAATATGAGTATTTCGGCTTCTTAAAAACGCCTTGCAGTCTGGGTTGCACATGATGATGAAGGTGTTGTCTTTCTAGTGCCACTGACATGTGGCTTTCTGGTTAGGTTCCCTTTATTGGGTAACCAACAATGAAAGCTTCTCTAGTGGAGTTGCCAAGAGTGTGGTGGTTGAAAGTGATGTTTGTTAAAAAAAAAAAAAAAAAAAAAAAAACCGCAGCAGATCTTTCCTGTCTGAACTGAGTTGTTTGACTGACTTGCTGTTCTTATAGATTTCTTCCAGGCCCCACTCTGTGCAGATCTTGTGAACTTCACCACATTTTGCTCTCCTGAACTTCCTCTCATTGCCAGCCCAAGGCTGTTGAGGCTGGGTCCCCGCTAGCTCCCTTTACTTTATAAGAGACTTTGCTAAACGTTTTGCTTTCCCAACTCTTGTTGCTTACATCGTTGTGAAGTCACCCAGGCCACTGAAGCGTGGTCCTCTGAGATCAAGCTCAGAATTGGTCTGTGTGTGAGGCTAAATGATGTACACACCGTTCTTTGGAATGATGTTTGGTGGAAGGACGATTAGAACTCAAAAGAATAGTTAATAAATCCAGTATTGCTCAGTTGAGAGAACTGGTGCTTTTTGGCCTTACTAATCGTCCCTGACTTTTGGCTGCCTTTGGAGAGGTGGACAGCTGTGCCCGATCCCTGCAAAGGGTCCTGCTTTATGTTAATTCCAAGCCCTGCCCAGCCTACTGTGGCTGTCTCCTGAAGTTAAGTCACAGCTGCTGCACCAGACTGAGCTGGTGGGATGGGGCCAAGGTAGCGGGGTCCAGGGGAGCTTGTCCATGTGGGCGTGCTATGGTGAGCAGGTGGTCTGCCTGGCTCCTTGCTCCTGGCTAAGATGTGTCAGTGAACCTTGGCTGGGAGGTAGGATGCGATCTCAGAAGGAAGAAATGGAATCAATATTGTAACTAGAAGTTTCAAGACAATTTCATCCATCTCCCCAGGACTGGAACACAGGTTTCTGGATTTCCAGCTGCTGAATGGCTCTTTTCACAAGTCTACACTGTCTCTCTCAGTTCTGAGAGCTAAAATGAAGACTTCGTTCTCGGTAGAAAGAGTTTCAGGCCACTTCCTCTGAGTGGCTTGAGGAGAACAGCCTCTGACTTTCCAGGGAGTGAGACGTAAACAGGGGAAGGAAGAGACTGATGCGGAAAGTGGTCACCAGCCAATGACCCCCCAGAGCCCCTGAGGTGCGTCAAGCACCATCCCTGACTAGAAGAGAAGCCTCTTCTCCCCCTGGGAAGGAGCCTTATCTAGTTCTCATTGCCTTCAGTCTCAAGGGCCTTTCACTTCCTGTTTCCCTCCTTCTCTGCCCTCATTTTGGGCCCACACACACACCAGGGAGCCGGGTTTTTCTGCAGGCCAGAGTGACCCCTGGGGAGCTCACAAGGGGGAGGAGGGATGGCCACACCAGACACCCAGCTTGGACTACAGGGCGCCCAGCTCCAAGGCAGCCTGGCTTCCTTCCAGAGACAACAGGAAGCCTTAAGGTTTTGAACACTCAGTTTAATTTAAAACAGGCACAAGTGCAAACAATTCACAAAAGTTTCTAGGGAAGATGCTTTTGTTTTAAAACGCTGACCCTTAAAAAAGTCCTTGCAATATTTTGCCCCAAAGCAGACCACTAGGGAGCAGAGGAATCTAAAATTATTATCTAGATAGGGTCCGGACACCTGACGTTCTTCCCTGGAATTTTCTCACAGCAGCCCTGAAGGTGGGGAGGGAAGCGGGACAAGGAGACAAGTCTCTGAGGAGGCAGCAGGGGCAGATGGTTTGACAGGTGCGGTGCCCATCCTCTTGATATGAAGGAACCTCCCAAACTGGTTCCCCAGAACAGGATTCCAAAGAGAAGAATGGGTTCCTGATGCCCTGTTTGTCGAGATGAAGTTCACAATAAAGATTCACTTCCCTTATCATCCTTGTCTCTGACTCTCAGGCTCTACAGTACAGGAGAAACACAATGTTGGAAGCCACTCAAAAACGTCTTGAGACCCCAGGATGTGTCAGACTCAATTCAGCCTTATTCACCAGGCAGGTAGAAACACAGGACTGAGAAATGGAAAGGTAGGCCAGGAAAGAAGGTCCCTTCAGAGCAGAACTTAGGAGAGGGGATAGGGCAGCCTTACTGAAGCTGGCTGTGGATGATCTGAAGGGACTCAGGCTGTTGGGGGTGGCCTCCCTCCCCTTACACACCACACACACACACACACACACACACACACACAGAGTTTCCTCTATTCTAAAAAGTTCGATCACCTTTACCACCAACCCCGTTCTTCCTCTTTCACCCAAAACACACCCCCTCCACTCTCGTGCCCTGTGAACAGGCTGTTCACAGTTCTGACCAGGCTGTGTAGGGAGGGTGTATGTCAGTGGAGTGGGTCAGGAAGCAGGTTCAGTGGGACTGTGCCTTCAGGAAGTCAGACACAAGGGAAGGAGAAGGATTCAGGCAATAAAAAGTTTCCCTGTGGCTCTCTCAAAAGACCCCAAGATTTGGAGTTGGAGCTGAGAATGGTAAGTATCCATGTGAAGACAGGCAGTCTGCCCTCTTGGGTGGCCTGGGATGCTAGGGTACAACTGTCTTTTAAAAACTGCAGCAGCCCTTACTGCTGCTTTGGCCACAGTGGCCAGCGCTGGTCTGCGTGTTTCTTAGAAATATCCCTGTGCAAATAACAAAGGGTCATCCTGCAGGAGGAGTCTTTATCATCCCGAAGGCAATTGGAGCCTCTCTTGGGAGGGCGAGAGACTGAGGGGACAGGTCCAGCCTGGCCCAGTGGGCTGAGGGGCAGGAGGGATGGGGTAGGGCTTCACATTCAATCTTTGGAGAGAATACTGAGAGAATGAGGCAGGTGGGTCCTCCCTGCAGGCTGACTGCCTAGTGTCCCCTGCCTGTTGGCACGGGTGTCGGGTGCACTCTGAGGTGGGCTCAGCAGGTGGAGGTCTGCTTGCGGTAGAGATGGATCAGGGGCACCAGGCACTCAGGCAGCCCTGTCTGCAGCAGGAAGGGGTGGTCCAGGAGCTCCTGGGCTGTGGCTCTCTCCTGGGGGTCCCGTACCAGCATACGCTCCAGGAAGTCTCGTAACACTGGGGAGACCTGTGGAGACAGGGCATGGTTTGCAGTCACTTTGGGATAACTTGCCTGCCTGGCCCTGCCATCATTTGACAGTCTTTAATTTTCTGGTTTTCTGTTTCCTGGCTTCTCCCAGGCTGAGTGCTTTTTGGATTAATCGGGTTAGGTAAAGGTCGTCACAAGTCTGGGAAATGTGGCCAGTCCACCTCTAGGGGGAGCTGCTGAGCAATGGAATTAGGATGCCAGAGCTCTGGGGAGCTGAGTGAGGTCCAAGTACAATGCACTCCTCACCTCTGCTTCAGTGTTGGGGCTCTTTGGAAGGGGCTTAGGCTTGGCATCTAGTGACCTGGTCTGGGCTCTATTCCTGATCTCAGGAATGTTGCAACTTTTCTTGAGCCCCCAGTTTGCTCCTCTGCAAAATGGGCTGATGATAAAGTATATTTCCCTGTCTGCCAAATTGGGCTTTAAGTGAAGAAAAAAATATGTAATTAGTCAGGAACAAGGAAGTGCTTTGAAAAATAGAAGAGAACAAGGTGGAACTTGAAAAGGAAGATTTATTTTTGCTCCAAGCCTTACAATCTAAGGCAAGGACCTGTCCCCTCAGTCTCTCGCCCTCCCAAGAGAGGCTCCAACTGCCTTCGGGGTGATAATTCATTATGAACCAATTATCTTGGAATGAGGCTGAGTCTTGGCCTGTCAAACAAGGCTACATCCTCTGGGGTGGGGAATTAGCCAGCTGGAAATTTCCCTATCTCCTCATCTTGGGGTCAGCAGTGTGGACTCCAAGGGCCATCAGTGTTCAGTTATCTCTGGAGTTATTTCCTGTCAGTCCTCACATCTTGTTGTTGTTATGTGCCGTCGAGTCAAACCCGACTCATAGCGACCCCTCCTTGGGTTTCCGAGGCAGTATCACTACGGAAGTAGGATTGCCCAACCTTCCTTCCGAGGAGTGGCTGGTGGGTTTGAACCACCAGCCGTCTGGTTAGCAGGCAAGTGTCTTAGCCCCTATGCTGCCAGAGCTCCCGTCCTCACATCTAGGCGTGACTGTTTGCCATTTAGGAACTGGGCCCCAATGCACTGGGAGTTTCTCACTCTGGCCACCAGATGGCAGTGCAGTTTTGAGCCCTGTGGAGCTGGCTATCAGCAAGGGTGTGCACAGGTAAGGCCTGCAGTTTTGGAGTGGATTTGGCAGAAAAGGGTTAAATACACACACATGCACACATATGCGCACGCGCGCGCACACACACACACACACACACACACTGGTTTTAGGGGAAAACTGTGGCTTGGATGCATTCAGGATATGCAATGATGGTGGACCAGCGGGATTGGCTGGGACGGCCTGAGAGCGCTACCACTGCATGAATCTCTGGCAAATGGGGGAGTGACTGTGGCTTCCCTGGATTCCTTCTCAGGATGTTAGGGATTCCTGGTGTCCCTGCTTCCCTGCTTCAGTATCTCTGGGTTCTTCTCAGTTGCCTGCCGAGGAAGGATTCTGCTGCTGCAGCGGCAGCTGGAAAGCTTGTTGGAGTGAACTGATGTATGTGTGGTAGAGGTGGCTCCACACCCAGGTGCAGGTTTTGAATGTAGAAAGAAAAGACTTTCTGAGAGGCCAGACGCTCTGGCTCTGTGGAAGGGAGAGGCTGAAGCCAAGGCCTGGGAGATCAGGCTTCCATCCTGTAAGCCCCAGCAAGAATATGGGGTCGATGGGGTTTACAGCCTGTATACTGACTGACCTTATGAGAATTTTTCAGTCTGGGTGGGGGGCTGTCCCGGAGCCTCTTCATGGCTTGCACTGGGGAGTCACTGAAGTAGGGTGGCTCTCCATCCACCATCTCAATCACCATGATGCCCAGAGACCAGATATCCACCTGCAGGAAGAGAATGTCCCTGACCCCACTGGCCAGAGTCTGGAGGGGAGGGGAGCAGCTAGTCCCAGCTCTCCTTGGTAAATCTATCTCCTTCTTCCCCTGGCCACCTGCCCTCTGGCCAGTTACTTCCTGCATTGGTGACCATTAACTGTAGGGACACAGCTGTCAGTTACTCTCTGAGAAAGGCCATCACCCATGGGGAGGACTGGCCATACCCCTACCCTGCCCTGGAGCTAGGGGGAACATTTTGGGGACCTGTTCCTGGCAGCAAAGTCACAGGTGAGAGGAGCCTTATCTACAAAGGGGCAGGGGACAGTGGGGGAGGGCATTGACTAAGTAGGAATCTGAGAACCTGCATTATTTTTGGTGGGATGTTCTAGAGGAGGCCACAAGGGGAAGAATTGTGTCTCCAAGCTGCTCCTGGGAGAAGGAACTGGGGGTGCGACCAGTTACCTCAGTAGCATAAAGAGACCTGGAGATCACTTCAGGAGCCATCCAGTAGGGGGTTCCCACCAAGGACTTCCTCTTAGGGACATCTTTGCTGATCTGAGCACAGAATCCAAAGTCTGAGAGCTTCACCTAGGGTTTGGGGAGAGAAATGGAAAGGGGGGGGGTGAGTGTGGAAGTATGAGGAAAAGTGACACTGTGGGCAGGGAAGTAGGGGCACAGTGGGGCAGGGAGGGGGAGGGGCCTACCCTGCCGTCGAGGGTGAGCAGGATGGAGTCACTCTTGATGTCCCGGTGGATGACGCCCTGGGCATGCAGGTAAGCCAGGGCCTGCAGCACAGCCTCACACACGGTGGCGATCTGCTCCTCATTCAGCCTGAACAGGGAAGACAGGGCAACGCTAGCTTTGCAGGGCTGCAAGGCAGCTGGGCTGGGCAGGGTAGGAGTCCCTGGTTCCAAGCCCACAGCTCCTGGGCATGTGTTCAGCGGTCTAATCAGGCCACAGCCCCAGGGGAAACTGGGACGTAGGTTAGAGACTCCCTTCTCTTCCGCATGTCCCTGAGATATGGGGTCTCACTGACCCCAAATAGGCAGCAGGCACTCAGGATGATGACAGGGACTCCAAGCCTTCTGAGCCAGAGGATGCCTGATATCCCTGCCAGGGCAATGGTGCAGGCATCAGTAGTGGGGGCCCCGGCCCCCCAGCTGCCTACCTGACTTGGGAGACAATGTCCGTGAGGGCCCCACCCTGTAGGAACTCCATAAGCACCCACAGCTCTTCGCCCACCAGGTAGCTCTTGTACATCTCCACCACGTTGAGGTGCTGGTAGTCCCGCATGATCACCACCTGAGGGGCAAGGGTTAGCTGAGTGATGGGCACAGTGCCCAAAAGGCATGGCCACCCACTGCCCCTGCATGCAGATGTCTAGCCTGGGTCCAGGCTCACTGCCCATCCCAGTGGCCCTCCCTTATTCCACCCTCTCCTCCCACCTCATTAAAGAGCAGCTCCCGGCGCTGCTGCTTCCTGAGGTCCATCATCTTGACGGCCACCTGGCGGCCTGAGTGCTTTTCCCGGGCCAGGCAGACGATGCCCGTGGAGCCCTCGCCAATCTTCACGTAGCTGTCCAGCAGCAGTCGGGGGTCACCTTGGTCCACCACCATCCTGAGTGCAGCCTTAAACTGCTCGTGCGTCACGACGCCTGTGTCCTCACTGGCCAGAGCACCCTTGGCCACTGCGGGGTCCTGGGGCAGGTACAGATTGCTGGTGCTGATCTGGGCATGCCGGGTGCGGGGGGAGCCTGCTGGGGAAGACCGACCTGGAGGCGGGCCAGCGGCTGGGCCTGTGCGCAGGGACTTCTGGGGGCTGCTGGTATCCAAGGTGGTCAGAGGGCTTAAGTTCCCTGCAGGCTGGTCCGCGGGCAAGGACTGGGCCTTAGCTACCAGGCTCGGGGGGCAGTCTTTCTGTGGTGGGCGGAAAGAGGAGTTGGACTACAGGGAGAAAGAAAGAAACAGGAAGAGGTTTGGCTGTGGAAGTGTTTGGAGCAAACTGCCTGAGGGTGACCCCTGGACACTGGCAGAGTTAGACAGGGCCTCAGACCAAAGCAGTGAGCTGCTGAGAGCAGAGATCTCCAAACAGCTGACACCCAACCACAGTCCCGCTCAGAAGACCAGCCTCCGAGGCTTCAGGTGAGCAGGCCCAACAACAGCTCTTTCCATCCTCTCTGCTGCTCCTGGGAAGACACAGCAAGCCCTGTCCCTGGGGTGTCCTTGTGCTGGGTCACTCCTTGGCCGCTGACAACCAGACCCCAAGGCCACTACTGGGAAGCAGTTTTTCCTTTGCTTTAGGGCTGCACAGGGACTGGGGTCAGAGGCATTCTTCATTTGGCGGCTCCCTGCACCCACCTGACCCGAGCCAGCCAATGGCCCACAGGAAGAGGCCCTGGGTCATGGGTAGGGAGCAGCAGGGCAGCTGCCCACTGATTCCCAAAACAGGGAAACTGTGGCTGGGGTCTAATAGCCCCACACCTGACAGCAGGGAGCCAGTGTTGCATATCTGTGCTGTGAGATTAAGCCCCTGACAGAAGGACAAAAGAGGACTAAAGAGCCATGCTACCAGCTGAGGGGTTCTCTGGCTGTCAGGAGGGTCCATGGTCACTACTCAGCCCCTTCATCCTTCCCCCCTGTACAGCGCAGCCCTACAGGACTGGAAGGCCAGGAGAATTGGGGCCCCATCCTGGCTCTGCTCTGCCTGTGATGAACCTCAGGCAAGTTACTCTCCCTGAAGCTGTCCCTCTGTTAAATAGGGGGATTGGGTACAGAGTGATCTGGGGGGCTGGATAATGCAGATTCCCAGGCCCCAGCAGAAGTATCTAGAGCAGAGACTGCATTTTCACCAGGTCCCTGGATTTCTGATGTAGAAGCACTGTGGAGATACTTACAGAAGCTCTGGGCACATGGACTCTGTGGCTGTGATCTCAGGGAGTTCTTGGGTGTAGGTGGAGGGACCATGGTCACTACTCAGCTGTGATACCATGTCTTAGGAGCAGAGGTTCCACGAGAGGGCACCAAGCAGGGACTAGGAGGGAGGTAGGGCATACCTCTCCATGATCACCAAAGGCAGCTCCCAAGGCCCCAAGGCTCAGGGCTCTAAGGAGGTTGCCTGTTGGCCTGCTGAGTAGTAGAAATTAACTCAAATAGTAGAATTAACTCAGAAAATGTGCATCCATGCGAGGCGGGAAAGGGCTTGGGGACTACCTGACACTGCTCCTGAGGTTGCTCTGATGGTCCCTTGCCCTCTCTCCCCTGAAGTAAGTCTAGGGAATACTGTAAAATGATTTCCTTCGCTTTCTGGCCTCCAAGGTTTCTAGACAGTATTTCTGCTCTGCAGATATTTGGGTATGGAGTGGGGGCAGGGAGAACAAGCCATTGGGAGCCAAGGTGGGGGACTCCCTCTCTCTCTCTCCTAGCTGTCAAGACCCCTGTGATGAGACTGCTGCAGGTGAGAGCTAAGGTCAGAGATGGAGCCTGGTTCTGGGAATGGGCACTGGGGCCAGTGGATGGAAGTAGGAAAAGGCAAGGATCCAGCAAGAGCCCAGCACAAACGGCCCAGGGCACAGTGCTGGTGGGGCCAGGTTAGTCTTCACTCCAGCAGGGTCTAGTCCCCAGTGTCCCTTGCTTGATTTTGCTGCTTGTCCACACAAGGAGGGACCACAAGAAAGGACCAGACCAAATTTGTTAAATCACTCCACAGGAAAAGCAGAAGCAAGATGGAGTTAATTAAGTGTTAAGGGCTTTGGGATTAATTCTGGAGTTAGCTATGTGACTGAGCCTTCTTCTTGGGAAGGAAGCCACTATAGAGTAATTCGTGGACTTATCCAGATGCCTCATTTTTCCTTACTGGGCCATGGTGACAGGGTAGAACTTGAGGGTTGTATTGCAAGTTCCTAAATTCAGAGGCTATGTCATAAATTAAAAAAAAAAAAAATTAAATGCTGTTTATTGAGGGCTTACTACTTTGGCAAGTGCCTTAAATGCATGATCTCATTTAATCCTCACAAATAAAATGGGATACTATTATTATCCCCATATGTAGATGACAAAATAGGCTCAGAGAGGTTAAGTAACTTGTCATAAGAGACACTAAGTAGCAAGGGGCAGAGCCGGACTTCAGTCCCATCAGCGTAACCTCAGACACTGATGCTGTGGTCCTGTTGACGGTGTATATCCTCAGCACATAACAGAGTAGGTGGTACACAGCAGGTGCTTAACCAATGTTTGCTGATTGTTGAGGTCTTAAGATTTGGCCCTTCTGACTCTAGGTGGAGCCACTTCTAAATTCCTCCAAGCTCCTAATAAGATGTCTGACTTCTTTGTTCCCCTGCCCGCTACTCTAGATCTTTGGCTCTTTAGCCCAAGTGAATAGGGCTGAGTCTTAGTCCTAGGGTCACAGGCCCTCCTCACAACCAGCATGCAGCCACTGGAGGGAGCTGCTGTGAGTGTTCAGAGTCAACCCTTGTGGGTGGACTGCAGGGCAGAGGGCCACGGGCTTGGTCCAGGGCCTCCTGGGTGTAGAGTGGGGGAGGAGGAAGCTCCACTCTCTCCATTTGAGTTTGAGATTTGCCTAAAGCAGTAGCTCTCAACCAGGAGCACTTTTGTCCTCAAAGACACACTGGCTAATGTCTGGAGACATTTGTGGTTGTCATGAGGGGAGGTGGTACCACCGGCATTTAGTGAGTAGAGTAATGCTGCGATACACAGGGCAGTCCCCACAACAAAGAATTATCCACCCAACGTGCCAATAGTGCTGAGGTTGAGAAATCCTGCCTAGAGCACCTCAGAGTATGTCTCAGCTCTACCTTTGAGAGGGCCTGCTTGAGAGTATTTATTTGGAAAGGTATGGCTTAGATGCCTACAAGGAAACCACTGCTCTGGGACTCTGGTTTCTCTGAGCACAAGACCACCACCACGACCTGCTTCCTCAGATGTCAGAACACCCAGCGCATCCCAGCAGCAGTGGTCATGGTAGGTACTCAGAAACAGTGGGGATGGACAGGTGGACAGAGGCTGGGAGGATGGGCCTGTTCCCCTGCTGTAGGGTGCTGGCAGGAGCTCAGCCCATTGTGGACACCCCTTTTCTCCAATTCCTGAAGCCCATCCAAGGGGCCAGAGAGGAACCGACTTCCAGCTCACATCTCCCTTTGCAGTATGCAATACTGCCCTACTCCCATCTGAGCTCTTCAGGGACTGTCTCCCCAGGTGCACAGCCTTTCACAGACCACTCAGCTCATAGACACTCATGATCCTCACATGACACATCTAATCATAGCTCACCTGTTCAACCTCTGCACCACCCCCACCCCCCGCATCTCTCACCCCATAGGATATCCCAGCCCACTGTCCTCTGTTCCCACAGGAGTGTGGCACCAGCTGGAATGCATGAGGCCCAGGTGCCAGCCCTGGTGTGGCCTTCAGGCTTGACTCTGAGCTGGCAGTAGCCTAAGAAGGTTGTTAGGTCCATGCCATCCCCCTCAGCTACCTCCCCATTCAGCCAGACTATGTTCATACCATCAGACATAGATGGGGTGGGGTGGGGGGATCCAGGCTTGTTTTTAAAGCCCCTAGGAGAGAGTGGCTTGAGAACCCACGCTGCTGGCAGGCAGTTGTTTTCTTGGTGTGACTTAAAGCCCTCGTGCTGTTGCCTAAGCTCATGTCTGCCTGCCCTCAAGAAGGAGCTAGAGAACAGCCAGCTGTGATGGTCATAAAGCCTTGTCACCAGGAACAGTAAGCCGAGAAACTGGGAGACAGTGGCCCCGACTATCCTCCCCTAGGGAGTTGCCTCACACTCTGAGTCAGTCTTCTCATTTGCCAAATGGGAAAGAAAGCTACTGTCACCATGGACAGGATGTCATAGGGCATGTAAGAATCCAGTCTGCCTGCCAAGGTGCAGCTATGTCACCATTAGGGCTCTATTCACTGCTTGCTTTTTTCTAAGAAAAATATATGTCCCTCTGGCTGTCATGCATGCCAAAAGCTCCCAGACCCAGACAAATTCAATCCGCAAGCTTTTCACAGGACGCATACACTTGAGAATAAATAGTTAAATACATGTTAAACAAAACAACAGCATGATAAAAAGGGAAGGAAGGATAGAAGGGAGGGAGAAGGGAAGAAGGTCAGTAGGAAGGAAGGAGGGAGGGAGGGAAGGAATGTAGGAAGGAAAGAAAGGAAAGAACCCAGGAAGGAAGGAAGGAAACCTCACTAGAGGAGAGAGTTCACATGAACATTTCTGATGCCCTAGCATCTACAGGTGTTCAGGAGAGCCCTGGGGCAAGTGAGGGGTGGAGAGGCGAAGCAGTTCTAGAAGAGGGAGCAAGGGGAGACCCTTCCATAGGGCTGGAGGCCTATGTCTGAGGGGCCTGGTGAGGGCTACTAGGCATTGGGCAGGGGGAGGGTCTGCTCTGGGTTTCTAGTTAAAGATGATGCTTTTCAGGGGGCTGTCTGCCTCCCAGTGTGGTCGCCTTGACACACCCAGAGGGCAGGAGGGTAAGCTGGACACACCACAGCCCCTCTGAAAAATGGCTGGCTTGCAACTTTGGACTCACACATGCTCAGCCTTTAGAGGATGGTGGGCTCAGCTGGTTCAGAGTAGAATCCTGAGCTAGCAGTTTCTTATTCAGTGTGGTCCCTCACGCTCTCCTCAGCCCTGACCCTGTAAGTGAGGAGGGTCCCTGCTACTCTAGCCTCCTGCAAGTGGCCCCAGAGGGAAGCCCCAGGCCGACCTACCTTGGTCTGTGTTGGAGGGCCTGGCTTGCTGCTGCTCGGAGGGGCTGTGGCCGTAGCAGGAGTGAACAGGAACATGCTGCGGAATAGCCTGCGCTTAAGGCTGCTCTCCTGGGTCTTGGGGCTGGGGCTGCCCTCCCCGCTGGGCCTGCCAATTCCTGAGCCCACCAGGCAGGACTGTGGCCGGGGCTCCTCGGAATCATGCCTGGCAGTTTTGGTCCCACGCCTACCAGTGGCTGTGGGGGGCGAGGTGCCTGGTGGGGAACTCTGCAGGCAGGCGCCCAGCTGCAGGCATCGTTGCGTGGCACCCTGGAACTCGGTGGGGCCCAGGGACTGTGCCTTCGCAGCCAGCCCATTGGTCAGGACCCGTGGGCTCTGCGGCTCGGGCCATGGTATCTGCCTGCGGCCTGCTGGGCCGCCCCCGTTACAGCTGAGGTAGAGGCCATGGGGGTCAGTGCGCTCAGACTGAGGGCTCTGTAGGTACATGTCCGGGTCAGTGGCCCAGTGCTCATCCCCCAGCAGCCCCAGGGACTGTGCCCGCCGCCGGCTGGTAGGGCTGTGGCCACGCAAGGTGTTGGAGCTGATGACCGACAACTTCTGGATGTCATTGAGCAGCCCCAAGATGTAGCCGTCTGTGGGCACTGAGCTGCCCCGTACCACTGTCTGTGGGGGAGGAGAGAAGAGTGGAATGAACAGCGTGTTCATGGCAGAGCCAGAGACCCTTCTGTTCATGGAATAGCAAGAGGAGTTGGGGCACTGGGTCTTGGGAGGAACACCTGTGGGCCTCTCAGGCTCTTCTTTGCTATGGTGTATTTCTGTTCATTAATTTTCCTACCACTTACTCAGGCCCACAGTGGGTCAGGCCTGTACTGGTGTAGGGATACAGGAATGCATTTAAGGCCTGTTTCCTTGGGGCTTGCAGGGCAGCAGAACAGACCCACTGGGTCACTGCAAGGTTACAATCCAGCAGTATGATCAACAGAGCCTGGGGAGCTGAGGGAACAAGGGTGGAGTCAGCTGCCACTGGGTTGGCCCGGGCAGGCTGCCATGCTCTAGCTCTTCCTGTTGCCTCTGAGAGATGTGCTAACAGGGAGACAGCTCAGGGGGCAGGAGTGCATGGGAGGGAAGGACACAGGGAAGAGGTAACTACAGGGAGGAAATGGGAAGAGAGCTGTTACACTGTGGGGAATTGCAGTCAATGTCATGAAACAAAATGTGTATGAACTGCTGCATGGAAAATGAAATTGCTCAGAAAACTTTCACCCAAATCACAACAAAATTAAAAATCAAAAAAGAAGAAGAAAAACATAAATTAAATTAAATTAAAATTAAACATCTGAGGTGTAAGTAAATAAATATACAAAAAAAAAAAAAAGAGATGTACTGAGCTATCAAAGGAGGCAGAGACCACATACCTGGCTACTTGGCCTCTGCACCCTGATAAGGCCTCTCGCCCCAACCCCTCCCAGGCTTTGGATCTGTCCTTCTCGACCCACACAACTAAATTCCCCTGGTCTGTGAGAGACCTCAGCCCGTCTGGGCTCCTGGGCTCCCCCGCTTCCAGAGGCCTTGGCAGAGAGAGGTCGGTCCTATCTGATCCAGTCCCACTGACGGGGTTGCCTGATAAACACACAGAACATCCAGTCCCATCTGAATTTCAAACAAACAATGACTACTTTTTGAGTATAAGCATGTCCCAGATACTGCATGGGACATATACTTATATCAAAAGATTGTTCATTGTTATCTGAAATTCACATTCAGTTGTTGTTGTTGTTATGTGCCGTCGACTCATAGTGACCCCTCCTTGGGTTTCTGAGGCTGTATCACTATGGAAGTAGATTGCCCCATCTTCCTTCCGAGGAGTGGCTGGTGGGTTTGAACTGCCAGCCTTCTGGTTAGCAGTCAAGTGCCTTAGCCACTATGCTACCAGTTGGGCATCCTATATTTATAAAATCTGGCAAGCCAGTAGAAGGACTCCCCAGGAGGAGAAGGAGAGACTGCTTAGCAGGAAATTGGTAACTGGTTATTCAGTGGTTGCTCCAGGTGTGGTTTTGCCAGGCATGGTTTTCTGTGGCGTGGGGGAGGCTGAACTCATCCAGCACCCCTGCCCACCCACCTTACCTTCATGGGCTGTAGCTGCACCCGTGTGATGCGTGAAGGGTCCACCACAGGCTTGGGTCGCCGCAGTGTGTCCAGAATGTTCTGCCATTGTGGGGGGAGCCCCACAAACTTGCCCTCTTTGGGGTCGAAGGAGGTGTGGACACGGTGCTGGAAGTTCTGTGGGGCGGAAATCTCAGGGCGTTTCTTCTTTTTCTTACGGAACATGGTGCCTGCCCGGGGAGGTCAAGCTGAGGTTAACCAGTCAACCAGAGCTGCAGTGGGTGCTGGAGGCCCAGGGTCTGGGCTCCCCTGCCCCTCACCCTGCCCCCATCACACAACCCTCTGTCCTCAGCCCCCTGGCTGCCCTTATACTCATCCCTGCTTCCTCAGGGAAATGGTTGGCTCCCGGCTGAGCAGTCCCCAAAACACAATAAAAGCACCATAAATAAGCCAGCAGAGACTATAAACAAGGAAAAGAGGTGTCTGTCTTCTTGTGCTCCGAGGCCCCTGCCCAGGAGGGAGGCAGACTGGGAGGGGGGCGTGTTTTTATAAAACCCAAAGCCCATCACAAACAGCACCCCACTGTCAAGAAATTAAGAAAGGAGGTAAGAGGGCAAAAGCCAGCAAACTCATTTTATGAAGGTAGTATGACTTGGATTCTTAAATAAGAACAGCATAAGAAAAGGAAAATTTGAACCACTCTCACTTATGAACATAAATGTGAAAATCCTCAATAAAATTAGCAAATTTAACCCAATAGTATGTTAAAGTTTTTTTTTTTTTTTTTTTAAAATCAATTTAAGTTTATAGAACACTGTTAATGGGATACACAACATTAGCAAGAGCCAACCAGCCAAGTCACAGTCTGGTGTGGGGCCATTTATCATAGAACCAACCCAAACCAAAGCAGCTACTATCAAGTCAATTCTGAGTTGTGGCAACCCCATGTGTTTCAGAGCAGAGCTGCATTTCATAGGGCTTTCATGCCCCAAACTTTCAGAAGCAGAAGAAAGCCAGGCTTTTCTTCTGAGGCACCTCTGGGTGAGTTCAAATTGATAACTTTCTACTAATAGCCCAGCACTTACCTGCTTGTGCTACCCAGGGACCCCTATCATAGGGCCAGGGGGCCCAGAAAGGATCCTCTTGGTCACTAGGTACTTTGCCCTGACTGAAGAAAGTTCCTGAGCCAAGGGGACAGATTGAGGTGGGTGAGGGGTGGCACTCTGAGGGTTAAAGCTCACCTGGAAAGAGAGAGACCTACCTCCCCTTGGAGCACTTTTTCAAGTGTGTTCTACATCGGAAGTGAGGGCGATCTGGCTGCGACATCTGTCACCCCTTTGATTGCCAGTGTTGATTTGGCTGATCTGGCTGGCCAGGCAGGTGTCCCCGTCATCCCTCACTGCTCCATGTGCATCTCCCCTGAAGCTGTATACTCAGTTGAAGAGGATGACCTTCCCCAGTAGAGGAGGACCGTCCTTTGGTCAGAGGGGTATTGGGCAGCTGCACTCCCCTGCCTGAACTTCTAAACACGCTCTCAAGTGTACACAGCATCACTGGTAGTTGAATCTCCATACTTCGTTTTGTCAGTTCTGGGTTTGCTTAAGGTCTTACTGAGCTCCGCCAACAGTTAGGAGTGAACTAGGCATGTAAGAGATAATGTGACTACACCTGAGAGAGGGAAACTGGAAACCTGGAAGAGGAAGTGTTACAAAGTGCTGTTCTAGCCTAGCCTTCAGGGAGGAGCTCCAGCCTGGGACCACATGTTGATGGAAGTCTGAGTCAGGGGTGCCCACTTGAATACTCTTGCTTGAATACAAGCAGCTCAGTGGGCTCTTATGTCACCCAGAACCTTTACTTTCAAATTTCAAGAAACAACCTGACATAAGAAGGGAAACAACTGGTTTGCTCACTCACCTAAGATTCCAAAGATCTGGAATGCAGAGCTATGACATTCTATTTGGCTCCTTCTCTGGAACCACCTTATAACATTCTAGAGTCAGTTACAGATCTGGGAAGCAGTTGGTGTCCACTGAGAATGTCACAGTGTTCCCCCAAAGCTACTGCTTTCTTAAGAAGGAATTCACTGTGCATGAATAATCTGAAGCCATGTCATATTGCTTGGCAAGTCAGCCATTTCTCAGAGCCTTGAGGTTCAGTCTACTAAATGCTCCCTGAGGGAAAAGCCACACATGTAGGACCCCAAAAGACCAAGGACTTTAGGATTAAACATGCTTGTTTGAGTTACAGGTGTATTGCTAATTTGGGGAGACTTTGAGCAAGTTACTTCAACAACCCAAGTGTCAGTATTCTTCATTTAAAGGCGCTCTAGTGGTGTAATGGTTAAGGCATTTGGCTGCTAACCAAAATATCAGTGGTTCAAACACACCAGCTGCTCTGTGGAAGAACGCTGAGGCAATCTGTTTCCATAAAGACCTACAGCCTTAGAAACCCAATGGGGGTTGCTATGAGTTAGAAATAACTCAATGGCAGTGAGTTTGGTTTTATTCACTTTTCATTTACAAAATGGAGTTTAAAAAAAAAGGTATCTCACAAGGTTTAGGAAGTATTAAGAGAGCAGAGTCCCAGTAAAGGGTGGCTGTTTCTTGCTATCTTCTCTCTGTGTGTATCCCTGTGGGAATACAGCTCTGTGAGTGATACCCAACTCCTTTCTTCTGAGATTTACCTGTCAAGGGATCATGCTTGATTTCAGGGTCCTGGGATTTGGGGGCTTCACCAAATTCTCTTATATTCTTCATGGTTTGTTAAAATTTGACTTCTTCTTTCTCAGCCTTTGCCTTTTGCTACAGAAGCATCTTCATGCTATCCTCACAGCCTCACGGGCAGACCCTCTATCCCTAGATTAATTTAGCTGACTATTTCTGCCTCCTTCCTGTTGTTGTTGTTGTTATGTGCCGTCGAGTCGGCCCCGACTCATAGCGACCCCTCCCTTGGGTTTCTGAGGCAGTATCACTATGGAAGTAGGATTGCCCAACCTTCCTTCCAAGGAGTGTCTGGTGGGTTTGAACCGCCAGCCGTCTAGTTAGCAGGCAAGTGTCTTAGCCACTATGCTACCAGAGCTCCCTCCCTAGCTCCGTGAATTCTTTCGGAAGGCATAGGGACACACCCTACTGTTGAAGAAGAGCTGGCTGATACTTCTTTCCCCAGAATATCCCTCTCTCTCCACCTTCATTTACCTGTAACCCAGTGCCCAGCCTTTTCTACAGAAATGCATTGAGAAAGCATCCTCAACAAATGGTCTAGCTGACTCTGAGATCCTCCTCCTGAGTCCACTCTAACAGCAGTTCCAAAACAAGTTCTCCCCAGAAGCAGCAGGAAAGGCCTGAGGAGAATGATGGCCCAGGAATCCTAGAGTCTGGGGATCTGATGGTGAGGGTGGGACCTGCAGAAGCAATCAGCTGAGCTCAGCCTTTGGGATAGGGTGAGTAGAGATTTAGAAATGAGAGTGCTGAAGGGAAATTTGACATTGATTGAGGGTAACAGTGTACAACATGACTAATGAATTGACATCACTAAGTTGTACACCTGAAAAAGGTCAAGTCGGCAACTGTTGTGTTATATATATATTTACAACAAGAACAAAAGGTGAGAAGCTGATGATGATGCTTATGTAAAACCAAATACCTCATGGAATTTGTTTTTTTGATTCGGAGGTTTAAGGTCATGGTTTCATGGAACATTCTAGTCAACTGGCCTAATGCTGTTTTAGTGTATCTGTTCTACCTCCTAATTTGTTGTGTGGTGCTTAGGGTTGTAAAAGCTTGTGAGCACATGGAAACAATTAGTCCAAGGGACTAGTGGACCATGCGAACCTCAGCCTACAAGACCTTGAGACCAGAAGAACTAGACAGTGCCCGGCTACCACTGTCAACCATTTGGAAAAGGATCAGAGAAAGAGATCCTGAATAGAGTAGGAGAAAAATGTAGAACAAAATTCAAAATCATAAAAAAAGACCAGGATGACTGGTCTGATACACACTGGTGAAACCCCTGAGACTATGGCCCCTAGCCTGGAATTGAACTCACTCCCTGTGGCTTCCAGCCAAACAATAGACAGGAGTATAAGGTAAACATCTACAACAGGTAGGTACACTCCTTAGAACAATCAATCATGGAGGTCAGAAGAGCAGTATTTGCACAGGGAGATAGCTCAGAGGGCAGGAATGCACAGGAAAGAAGGACACAGAAAAAAAGTTACCACAGGGAGGAAAAGAGAAGAGAGCTGTTACATTATGGAGACTGCAATCAATGTCTTGAAACAAAATATGCATACAGCATGAAAAGTAATTTACTTTGTAAACTTTCACCCAGGAGCTCTGGTAGCATAGTGGCTAAAGCACTTGACTGTTAACCAGAAGGCTGGCGGTTCAAACCCACCAGCCACTCCTCGGAAGGAAGGTTGGGCAATACTACTTCCGTAGTGATACTGCCTTGGAAACCCAAGGAGGGGTCGCTATGAGTCGGGGCCGACTCGACGGCACATAACAACAACAACAACAAATATATATATAAGCTTGCGAGGAACCATCCAAGGTAAAAAGGAAAAAAAAAATTATTTGCCTAGAGCAACAGAGGAAGAAGGAGAGTCAGGTACAGGGGAAGGAATGGAATGTATGGCTAACTGCCTCCATGAACAATTGCCTCCTTTGCCATGAGACCAAAAGAACTGGATGGTGCCCAGCTCCCATTATTGAATGTTTTGCTCAAGGATTCTATAGAAGAATCCTGATCAGAAGGGGAAAGAGAATGTGGAACAGAATTTCAAATCTTTATGAAATCCAGATTTTCTGGAGTCATTGAGGCTGGATGACCCCCAATACTATTGCCCTGAGGTCATCTTCAAACCTTAAACTATTACTATCTCCGTACATCATCTTTAAAACAAACAATAAGTCAAACCAAACTCACTGCCATTGAGTTGATTCTGATTCACAGTGACCCTATAGGATAGGGTAGAACTGCCCCATGGGGTTTCCAAGGTGTAAATCTTTACAGATGCAGACTGCCACATCTTTCCCCTATGCAGCAGCTGGTAGGTTTGAACCACCAACCTTTTATTTACCAGCTAAGTGCTTAATCACTGTCTTACCAGGGCTCCTTAAACCGAATAGTAGTTTAGCTTAATTAATAAATAATATTTGCTTTGAGAATTGTGCTTTTTAAAGAAATTATCCATAGGTGATCAAACTGACAAAAGCAACTAGAAA